GATGATAATAATCTATAATAGAATAATAGTAGTAGTAGTAGTAGTAGTAGTAGTAGTAGTAGTGATAATGATAATAATAATGAAAATGGCGATAATAGTTATAAAGACGATTATTTCATTGATTATTCTTACTATTATTGTTAGCATTTTATTACTTATTGTTAATATAATCGTACAGTTATTATCATTATAATTATTTTTGTCGTTTGTGGTGGTGGTAGTATTATTATCATAATCATCATCATCATCATCATCATCATCTTCATCATCATCTTCATCATCATATTATATATTATTATTTTATCGTTGTTACTTTGAATAGCTAAATTACTAAAGTAGTACTAGTGTTACTTATAGCTGTAATGGTAGCATTAGTTTGAGCTTATTGATCAGCATAATTATTACTGTTATTGCAATAGTTGAATAGTGAATTGATGTTACAGTTGCCATCTTCATTCTGGGTATTGTTATTATTAGTAGTATTAGCGTTATTGTATACTGACATTATAATTATTTATGCTATATTGTTGATATCATCATCGAGATATTTATCATCGTTATTATTATTATTATTATTATTATAAATCGCATGATTCTTACTATTGTGTACTAATATTATTATCATTACGATCATGGTGATGATTGTTGTTATCATAGGCTGATATACTATTCTCATCTTTACCTTTGACTTACTCCTTAATTTCTTACCAAAAGGTTAGAAAACTGAGGAGAAAAAAACAATAACTACCATCGTTGGCAAAGATAGTAAAACGAGGGAAGAAGGACAGAAAATGACGCTAAAAAGTAAAACTAGCCTAACAAAGGAGATAGCAACGGCACGAGAGCAGTAAAAAATAGCAGATGATTGTGGATTGCGTTAATAGCAGAGGCCTAATCAGTGAAAATATGGAAGTGGTATAATAACGGTGGCAAAAGGAGATCATTGCAAACAATAACAAGAATGAAAGATAATAAAGAAAACAGCAAAAGGAAGTGAATATCAGTAATAGCCGGTCCAGTGATAATAGCTTTAAATGGTTAAGAAACAAAGCAGAAACAACAAAAACTGAATACAACCTTAACCCAAAATCCTAATGACAAGAATATGATAAAAGCGCTCTTGTTGCACTGGGAGCTGTTCCGAGTTGACATCGTTATGCTGAGCAACATAAACGATGTGTGTAGAGATACAGCTAATAAATGAAACAGAAAGGCAACGAGAGAAAATCCTTCAGGAAGAGCATGCAGCGAGTTACTTTGTTTGAACGAGAGAAAACCTGACCGACTGGTTTGTTCGTCGCCATAACAGCTTTCTCGACGTGCAGTTTGTTGCTTTTTACAATTCAATAGAAAGAGAAAAAGAGTTATTTTTCTGATTTTTTTCTTCATTTTAAACACAGTGATGGAATTTTTGTATTATCGATAAAAGACTTAATTTTTCTTCTCCTTTTCTCTAATGAACAAAGGTCTTAAGATGTCCAGAATTCAGATATAAATGAATAAAGTGTGCCCTTTCCCTCACGCGATCGAATAACGGACACAGGTGGGAGGGAGAAGAGAGAGGTCAGAGTGACTCAGGATAAAGTGTGCATGATTTTGCGTACGTCATGAGGGAGATAAAGTGATACCATGGTGCGGGAGGATTTTACTATTGGCATGGTTCTTATCAGGTGATCATTTAATTGAGATTACAAATGATTGGGATGCTAATTGTGAGATTGTTTGGTATCAAATAACTATGTAAGATTAATACCCCCTCTTTTAGATCCATGTAATAACCTCGCATAGAAGATAACATTTAGAAACCCCAAAGCCGTCAAAGAAAACGTTGCTCTTATCACCACGGTCTTATCTAACATCATCTACCACAGACAACCCAAAAGCAAGAAGTCATCCAACGGAAAGATCTGGCTTTCATGCCCGTTTTCTCTCATGAAGGAATGCCATGAGAGTAACCGGTAGCGGCGGGAACGAGATATCAGGTCTTGTTTACACGGGAGAAATTACCGTGGGGGCAAACTGGGCTGAGACTGATCCGCGTGGAAACGTTAGACGAGAGAGAAAGGGGGCTGCAAGACGACGGGTGTGTGTGGAGGGGGTGGAGGTGGGGAATGGGAAGGGGTGGGAGTGGAGTGAGGGGGGGAGGGGTTGAGGCGGGAGAGAGAGGGAGGGGAGGGTGGAGGTGGTGGAGAGAGAGAGGGGAGGGGTGGAGGTGGAGTGAGGGGAGGGGTTGAGGCGGAGAGAGAGAGGGAGGGGTGGAGGTGGAGAGAGAGGGGAGGGTGGTGGTGGAGAGAGGGGGGAGGGGTGGAGGTGAGAGGGGGAAGGGGTGGAGGTGAAAAGGGGGGGATATGGAAGGACATGGAGAAGGCCATTGGAGGAGAGGGAGGAGGATGGAGAGGATAGGAAGGGATGAGGAGGGAAGAGAGGAAAGGGAGAAAGAGAAAAGGTAATCGGGAGGTCAAAAGAAAGATGAAAGGGAAAAAGAAAGAAGTATACGTGT